CAGCACATGGTGGTAGCCCAGAAACGGTATAAACCGTTGCCAGCCGAGCTGAAACCGCGGCCTCGCTCGTGAGCCTGAGCTGCTGCTTCCACGCGCCATTTATGATACCTTGTAGTCCTACCCCACGTGGGCAAAAACGTGAAGAGATACACCTGGGCCTCGGAAAGGCAGCCTGGCTCCCCCGTTTTGTCGTTGACGATCTGTACGACAGAGGGGTCGGAAGGCGCCTGCAGCGCGATAATAGAAATACGTATCCTCGGCCCCGAAGACTCCGCTTGAGCTGTGTCAGGAACAGCGATGAACTTCTTGCTCGGCAATCAATGGCCCCCGTGGTCGTTGATACTCGCCGTTTCCCACTATTGTCCCACTCGGGAACGCCTTTGGTCTCGGGACGGCTCGTCGGTGGAGATTGCCTCCTTTGTTGCAAACAACGGGGATTTTCGTGGCGACGATATGCTGCGCTCAGGAATGCAGCGTAGCTCCGGAATGCGGGAATCGTCTCGTCGAATGTACAAGGAAAGATGTACGGGTCGTTGCGGGAACGTAAAAAAACGTGGGCGTGGGGTATCGAGAGAGTCTGGAATGTAAAAAGAAAGAGTGAGGGTATCTTTAGATCTTGGACAAATCGAATGGAACAAGGCCTAATGTCAGTATCTTGAACGACTCTTTGGGTAAAACAACTTAAGTTTCTCTTGGAATGTACGAGGGAGAGAGAAAAAGAGAGAAAGGGCAGCGTTTGCCTCTTCCTGCCTCCTCGACAATAAGAAATCGATCTTCGGTTAGTATCCGGTGGATCTCTTGGAAAAACTCAGTCGTTGTTTGGGTGTAAAATACGATGGCTGGGCGGCAGAGTAGAGAAGCAGCTGTAGCTAGTCGCGATGGAGCAGGAGAGTCGGAGAGAATGAGGTGTCACAGTCTCATCAAAGTACACCAACCATCTGGATTTCGAGGCGTTGAGACGTTATGCGTGGATATGGTTGGCCCAGCCACGTTGATTTTTATTTACTTGGCCCAGTTGGGTTGACTAGGCGACGTGGCCCCCGGTCTGAGCCTAACTGGTGACGTCCCCAGGCTGCTCAACAGCGCAGGATAAGTGGGGCCAGAAACTCGGGCAGGTTGGCAGGAGGGGTGGGGTGCAGCGCGGGAACGGCGCTACAGGTGAGCAGGGAAAGTGCCACCAGACGGATATGCAGGGGTCCCGCGTCTGCCTTGCTTGCCATTTTAGTGCGATGTTCAAGTTGGAGTCAGGGTCTCGCATGTCATGAACCTTGAGCCACGTGCACAGGGGAAGAGAGAGAAGCAGAGGTTTGCACGATACTTCTGTGTTGTTGTTGATTCTCTGCCACGTGCCATGAGCTCGACCTCGGGAAGAGCTACAATGGCCAGAGCGGCTTGCTGGTGTTGTTTCCCTTGGCGTGGCCGGGGCGGTCAAGCTCAAGTACTACACCTGAACAGCTTCAGCGTCAGCTTGCTCCGATGTCCGGCAGTGACCAACTGGCACCCGAGGCTTGGCTTCTTTGGGATGGATATCGACATCAGACAGCTTCGGTCGAGTCTTGTCGAACGCTGCGCCAGCATCTGTTGAACAATGCCAACTGCACCATCTTATGCCAAGCTCAGATACGGAGCAACAACTCGGTGCGGCTTTTTAAACTTGATCCCAGATGTCCAGAGCGGCTTTCAGTTGTGGTTGTCATAGCAATAAGCATGGAGGCTGCCAGCTCATCCTTGCGTAACTTGTGGCAAAGCTACATTGCAGGGGCTGTAGGCCAGCCCTTTCGCTATAATGACAGCCCGCTATGACGCTGGTCAAGGATAACTGATGCAATGCGCTGTTTCAAGCTCATAATGGCAGGTAATGGGCATTTGACAAGCTGTCGCTGCACAAAGGTTTTTTTTTTCTCAGTACCTTTGCGCAGTCAAAAGCGATCACCGAGGGGTGCCTGGCAGCTTGTCCCGCTATTTGCATATCCTCAGCCGATGCACGTGGTCCAATCGATAAGCTGGCTTCCTGGCAGGTCCCGCCCACGTCACCATCTTCAACCGTTGGACCTCTACAGGTCAGGCCTACAGCCATCGTCAGCAACAGTCGCCATATGCGCAGTCAATCCACCAGCATGGCGCTTTCTCATGCTGAAGCGAGTCAATCTCTAGACCTTCGTGTCGAGGACTACCTAGATGACAAGTTTCAATCAATGGCCGATCTAGACACTCTTGATGAGCTGCTTGTCAATGTCGAAACGCAGCGGAACCAGCTGCAGTCCCAGCTCGATGACGCTATTAAAGAGCTCGAAAAAGCTCGCCGTACCACCGAGGACCGGAGCGATTCGCTGCAACAGCAAATAGACGAGTTCAATGAACTACAGGCGAGCATTGACACCCGGGTCAAGATAGCCGCTGCGTCGGATGCGCCCAGTGAGGCCATTGCTCGCCTGCAGCGGCCCATGAAGAAGCTCCAGCACGTCGAATTGGCGCAGAAGTATTTGATCCTTCTGCAGGACGTAGAGAAGCTTCGCGCCGAAGCTCGATCGTACCTACCTGACAGCCCCAAAGCCGCCCTCGAACCCTACGCAAAGTTGAAAAGCCTGGCACTCAAACTGAGGTCCTTGTCAGGCAATGAGGAGCTTCACCTGGTCGACCACGTCCAGGCCGTGACCGAGAGCCTGTGGAACGAGATGAAAAAAACCATGTCGGCAGAGTTGGAAGGCGTTTTGGAGAAACGGCACTGGCCAAAAGTCGATCCCCATGCCGAAATGGACGACGAGTGGATTGCTTGTGTCGAGAAACTCATCGACTTGCAAATGCCTGAAATTACCCGCAGCAGCAGCAGCAGCGTGCCTCTTCTGCCGTTCAATGTCATGACCGCTATATTTGTTGCTGAGTTCCGATTCCACTTCATGAGCGACAAACCCACCAGTAGCCCGCAGTCCATTGGCACGCACTGTTTCCCTTGGTTCCTGACCATGATTGAGAAATGGGAGGACTTCTTCCGCGACAATCTAGGTCACCTTCTTGCTACCAAGTTTCGTGAAACCTCAGTGGCTGAAATCGCTGTGTACCTGGACCCAGTGTGTGCTCTCATCACTGCTATGCTCCCAGTCATGAGGGAAAAGGTTCATGCAGTTGCCAACGAAGCCGTCAAGAATCCCCCTTTCCTGAGCTCATTTATATCGCAGCTGATGACTTTCGATGAAAACATTCGTCAAAGGTTCAACTATGATGATGGTGATGCCGAGAAGGGGTGGAATGGTCTGACTGGAGAAATCCTGGACCACCACTTTGATGCTTGGTTCAGGGTGGAACGAGAGTTCGCACTCGAGAGATTTGGAAAGATTATAGAGTCGGCCGATGGTCGTAAAATTGACTACGACTACTCTGTTACAGGCAGAATGAAGCCCACATTCGCTGCCGTTCGCATAACTGATCTCTTGAGAGTTGTCACTGGAAAATACGAACGGTTACGCAGATTGAAACACAAAACCAAGTTCCTCGTGGATATTCAGCTTGACATTTTAGATGGATATCATGATCGTCTGCGAGGATCTCTGGAAGCGTACCAATCCATTACATCGACACTCGGCCGTACGCTCCACGGTGCCTCTAAGGAACAACTTGCAGCTCTGGAAGGGACGGGTGCATTGGAGACGCTGTGCAAGGTGATTGGGAGCTCTGATCATATTGCCAATACCCTAACAGAATGGAGCGATGAAGAGGTGAGCTTCAAGCATTAGCATACAACCAGATGTCCTTGGGGGCAAACAGGAAGGCTAACTGGATCACACAGTTCTTCGTCGTGCTATGGGAAGACCTTCAGGCCCGAGACGCCCAGCAAAGCAAGCGAAACAGTGCTGCCAGTGGCATGGCACCGGACAGTATCTTGAGCCGCGTGCCTGGCCACCTAAGCGACAGCGGCAGCAGTGACAGCGGCATATTTGACGAGACCGTCTCTGCGTACTCCTCACGTCGCAAAGCAGCAGAGCAGCTTCTCGTCAATGCCTTGGTAGACTCTCACGCCAAGGCGTTCCGCGCATACGTCAGCAAAGTCCAATGGACCACAGTTGGCGACGCCGCAGTCTTGGGTACGTTGACAATCACCTTATATGCCCCTGCCAACGGCTAACCTCCCATACCACAGATGACCCATCCCAATTGTCCATCACGCCGGAACTGGACGAGCCCTTGCGCATTCTACAGCGCAACTTTGATTATCTTACCAGGGCCCTGTCGACAGCTTCTTTTCGTCGCGTGTGGCACGATGCCCTCGACAAGCTCCAGGACCTCCTCTGGACGAGCGTCCTCCTCAAGCAGTCGTTTACTACCCTTGGCGCCGCGCAATTCGCTCACGACGGAGGCGCCGTATTCTCTCTTGTGGAGCGCTACATCCCCGGTGGTTCAGGAGCGTTGGAATCGCTTCGCGAGGGAATGCAGCTGCTGAACTTGTCTACGGCGGCGCCTACCGACAGCGCAGAGGGCAGCGCGTCCGGGCTGACGCTGAAAGAGGCTAGTGACCGGGTATTTACCGATAACGATGAAGCGCGTAAAGTATTGGAAGAGTTGGGACTACACGTTTTGACGCCAGTGAATGCGAGACATATTCTGCAACGAAGGGTAGAGAATAACGAGAATATCGGGTGGTAATGTGCCTGCCTAGTTGATTTGGCGGCATTGAAAATGCATAATATGTACAGAGCTACCAATTACCATGTCTATAGTACTTTGAAGGCCCCTCCAAAAAAAGAACATAGTCCAACCCATCTCCAATGAACTGTTGAAGTGTTCTCCGTTCCCTGTAGAAAAAGATCCTTTGTAAACTTTCTTGCGTTAAAGCTGTCAGCTCTAGGTGTGTATGACGTGATATCAAGTAAAAGCGACGAGAAAAAAGAAAACCCCAACAAGTTAGCCATGCCCCAAACAATATCCCGAAAAGGGACATTTGATTTTGAACATTTGTTTTTTCCAAGACTCCTTTATGCGAAAAAAGAAACACCAAAAAAAAGCGCTTAGTTGATGGCTCTCAGGGTCATTTCCACAACGGCAAAAGTACCAGCGCTGACGGGCATGGCACGGAACAGAGTCGGCCAGATGCCTCTCCAGAAGCCCTTGAAGCCATCGGCTCGCCAGGTGGCAGCAAAGCAGCTGCGCATGGTCGGGTACTTTTGGTCGGGGCCGAATGCATCAGTCTGCATCTTGCTCTTGATGACATCGAAGGGGTAGCTCGCGAGCCAGAGCGCCTCTCCGGCCAGGCCACCGTAGAAGGCAACCTTCCAGGCCGGGATCTCCCTGCGGTCGACCTTGTTGCGGGCAGCGTCTCGGTTCATGAGATACTCGAACGCGGTGAACCATGCTCCGTAGGCGGCGGCCTCGCGGTAGACGGTGACGGCGGTGCCGCGGTAGATTCCTCTGAGGACGCCCTGGTGCGCGCTGAGCTTGCGGACACAGTCCCAGGGCCCGTTGTAGAGACGCGCATCGCCGTGAGGCTGGCTCTGCAGACGGATACGGATGTGCTCTATGGGCGTCGACAGCACTGCGTTGGAGACGCCGGCAAAGGCACCCGCGGCAAAGTACTGTCCATAACTCAAGTCGTTGGCCTTGAGGCTGGGGTTGGCGGCGTTGCGAGCCTCGAACCACCGGCGAGCGGCGTGGAAGGCACCAAACTGGATTGAGACGCATGCTCCGATGCCCAGCAGAGGCGTGAGGGTTCCCTTGTAGAAGGCGAGGGCGCCCTCGTTTCTGTAAATGGAGGCGGCAGCGTGCACAGCGCCCGAGTACTGGTTGGTAGTCTGGAGTCGGACTTTGACAATGTCAAAGGGCTGGCCTGTAGACGGAAAATGAGACAATCAGCTGCGGCTCTGGGAACGTTTGCCATGGTTTTTTTTTTTTATATAAATTCAATCCGTCTTGCGTGTTATTTCTCGCGGCGACAAACGACGCTGGAGGGTGTTCACTGTCCACTCTCACCCGGCGGATCGATTTGTCAGAATGCCGCCTTTTGAAATCACGACAGATGCATGCCACTTGGCCCAATCATGGCTCCAGAGACACTTACCGATCAAGACCTGTGCAACTCCTCCCACAGCACCTGCGAACAGGTCCTTGGCGGTCTGCAACCCTCCGCCCTGCATCTCCTCAACTTCGACTGCAGTCATGGCGAATGGCAACGGCCCCTATCGGCGCAAATGCAGAGTACTACGCGAAAAAAACAAGCGGCGGGTATCGGTGGCGGCGACGACTCAAGTACAGAGTCCAATTCAATTGACGCGGTTGCAATTCGGCTCGTCTGTATGGCTGGGCAAAATTGAGAAGAAAGAGAGGCAAGGCAGGAAAAGAAAAGAGCAGGAAAGGGGGGGGATATGACAAGGCCAAAGCCAATGTAGGCGGAGGGATGGAATTTTTTGTGTCTTGCGGACAGATAGGCGGCGAGCGATGACCCGATTTGAGCCCCGATGTCGTGCTTGGGGCCGCGGTGCGGTTTCGCGGGGTCAATTGCACCCAGTCGGACCCTGGCGCGGGGAACAGACCTAGGAAACATTGGGGCAGCGGCTATTCCTTATGTAAATTGTGTGTCATAAATATCACTTCCATCGTATGTTGTTTCTTCCCGACATCAGCAGTCATTTTGGAATGACGCTAAAATGTGGAACACGTTTTGATGTTTTCATCTACATTGCTTCTTTCTGGTCGTACCTTGGTCTTGTCGTAGCCGATTCTGGTTTAGGAAGGGACGGCAGTAGAGTAGCCGCGCAGGAAGGAGCCTGCGGCTGCGGCTAGGGCTCTTGGAACTCCACCCGCCAATCCAATGGCTACCTTTTTGTTACTTTGTAACGCTTTGTTTCCGCCGTCTTCCAACACAAACGTGCCCAAGTTCAACATACCACAAGCACCGTGAATGAAGTGGAATTGAAGTTGCAAATACCTACGGTTGATCTTGTCAAAATCCATTGGGCAGTCTCTGTTCTCTCCTAACCCTCGTAACCACCGTGCTCAAGCAACAACACGCGCAATCCCCGACATCAACACCACAAACACCACGCTCGCTCAATCTCAACGCACAATCGACCATTGAGGATGGCCACCGCCAACCCTTGTCCAACACACGATGCTCTTTCACGGGTTCTCGTATAGTGGGGGGATGCCCGTATACCCTTTGTTGTAGCGCCTGGTCATGTTGTAGATGTCCACCTCGGGCAGCACGCGAAGGTTGACAGGGTGGTGACGCCGCGCATATGCCTCCCATTTCCTGGCGCCTTCCGAGAGCCTGGCTTTCTGTTCTTCAGTCTGGTCGGCGTTGTACTCGTTGGTGAGGTTGACGCCGCAGATTTTACAAAATGTCTTGTTCAAGATGTGCAAGGAGAAGGCGTATCGTCCAATATTGGCCGGCTCCTCGGCGTGGAGAACGACCTGTTCGTTGAGAGGGTACGTCCAAACGTAGCCGTTCTAAAAAGCCGAGTTTCTGCTTAACGATCACATCCTCTGGCAGAATTTCGTATTGGGACAGCCACTTACTCGTTCGCAAATGCTGCAATTGCATTCGAGACCACCGTCTTCAAACGTCACGTCGAGTGGCTTGTTTATCACCGCGACAGTGACAGCACCACAGTGACAGCCACCCTTGTATAATTTCCCGCCTTCGATATTTGCGCTTGGTTCAGCTCCCTTGTGCTCAGCTACTGTATACAGGGGCTCAACTTTGGCCCAGTCGATCCTTGTGGGAGCGTGTCAGCCGAGTTCTCGAAAACGCCTAACTATTTCAAAGGTACGAACCGTTCTTTCTGCAGCGCCCACGTATCAACATTTTGAAGCGTATGGGCCTGCACAAAAGCTTTCTTAGCGCCACAAAAAGATTGGTCTATGCATAGCTGCTCTTACATTTATGGCTATCGTTGCGTTGGGAGGTGCCTGCTTAGCCACAGCCATAACTGGACTTGCGCATGTCGGGCAAAACTACCGTAACATCACTAGTCAGCTCAGAAGACACAGCATGTGAAAGAAGAGATAGAGATCCTGGGATTCACCTTGTGACTCCGGTTCTTGGCGTTGAAAGTATAGCTGGAGAGCGTGTCTTCGCTCCCCTTGACAATCTTGAAGTGGCCAGTCTCCTGGGGAAGCACCCACAGGTAGCCCTTTTTATGGCAAATACTGCAATTGCATTGCTTGACTGCCTTGATCTCAGGCAGTTGAACTTCATACACGAATGCCTTGCAATGGCAGTTGCCGCGATATGTGCGAAGCGGCTGCAGCATGTCTTCAGAAGCCATTCTGGAGACTTGGAAACGCGAAACCGGCCAATGGACAGCGAAAGGGGCACAATGAAAAAGGACAGGCTGTTTCGTCGACTTATATATACTACTAGGTAGGTAGGCAAGATGCTTTTAGAAAACGGTCCTAGCAGTTTTGGTTTTTGGTGACATCTTACCCCGCTGCGTGAGAACTAATGCCACATCATCGATGGTCTCTGGAGGCATTGCACCCCAACAATGCACTACCTTGCTCCTTGCCTCGCTCCTCGCGTATTTCGTGAGCAGATTCGGATAAGCCTCCAGGCAGCCAAAGGTCTGACGCTTGCCGCCATTTCCGGACGTCTTGTGTCGGCGCATACGGCGTTCTGTTCCCGACGGCTCAATCTCCACATGCCATCCATATCGTATAACTACCAGGTACCTAGGTACCGTAGGTACATATGCTAGCTGACAAACAGATGTATCCCAGTCATCTTAAAGTCGGCATTCTATTCAACAAAGGACCAAAATTGCACCGATAGCTGCGGGGCATATTTCCTGATTAATAAATCGCTGGTATTTACTACTAGGTAGCTGGCCTATATTGGGCTCAGCTGAGTCGTTCGTTGCAAAAGTGGGCTGCGCCTCTGGCGGATCTGACAAGTAGATGAACCCAACAAAGGAGAACCCCGGTCGTCTTCAGAGTCCGCAGTGCACGATATAATAATACGTTGAGTCAACAAATAGTTGGCGTCTCTTCAGCGACTGCTTGATGTCAAGTCTTGCTACACATTGCATCTTCTACAGTTGGCCACCTCGTGCATGGCCGTACCATGGGAGTGAACCACTCATCACTTAGATTCCCGTGCTTGTCTATTCATGAATGCGCCCAGGACCCATCCAATTTGTCGGCATTAAAAGCAATCCCATGGACGCCTGTCATCTTTAAACATTGTCATCATGTGTGCTCTCTTTCGTGATTCTCCACGTCTCGTAACCGGCTGAGCCCCTGATGCGTCGACGTCCCAACATGGCCGCACCCCAGGATTGCCCACCCTCAACAACCACAAGACCACCAAATCCTTGGTCTCAACCCATATGCGAGGTCCTCAGTTTCGAAACTCCGATTAATACCGTTTCACACCTTGTTTTTCATCTTTTGCATTGTTTTGTGCCTGCGCATTGAGCTTGATAGCTTCCTTGAGCTTCGCAATCACTTCAGGCTGATTACTGAATGCCGTATCAAGAATAGACTCCAGCTCAGCCTCCACCTTGGCAATCGGTTTGACTCCGGTTTTGCGATTCGTTGAATCGTTAATTAGCGTTGCCCACCGCTTTGTGAATGCATAGATTGATTGCCGGAGTAACTCGTCCAACTGCTCACTCATATCCTCTGCCGTGAGAGTTTTAGCTGTTACGGATGGTGCGCCTCTTGACCAGATTGACCCTCCAAGAATACTGCCAAAGAAGCTTAGCCAGTTTGTTGGACTCAAGGTGTCCCATATCTGACCGAAATGCTGCATGGATTGGGGGTGATTTCGAATATCGCCTATTTCGAGGGAAACCAATTCGTTCTTTACGATAAGAAGGTTCTTCACCATGAATAGATCAGGATCCGTGCCGGACTTGAATGACTGAATTCTTGCTTCAGCTCGCTGGAGTACTCGAATGGTCTCGCGCACAATTTTGAACACGACGGAGCTATTTTTGGACTAAGAACATGTCAGTTGATTTGACTCATGGTCAAAGAGCGCCAATGCCAACTTACTGAGCGTTCTTTTGGCATTGCCTGGTCAAATTTGGACAGTAACTCGATGGCTTTCTTGACAAGTGGATAAGCATTTGACGAGGCGACGCCGTCCACAACTGGGCCAATTTTCAAATCACCGTCTTGTAGGGTGGCTTTGGAAATGGATTTTGTGATTTCCATGTCAAAGGCATTGTCGGTGAATGGCCAAAGATGATCCACAAGCAATCTTGCGGCATACTCACGGTGTTTTCGTCCCGACCGAGACTCTTCCTCATCTTGTTCAGCGACCGCGTATTCATTTGCCAGCCATCCCACAACACTGCAAACCGATTCCAGCTTGGCTGTTTGGAGAACGCTTTGAATGGTGTTCCCAAGGGGCGCAATATGACCTGGATGGACCATCGCTGTGTTGATTCCCTTGAGAGCATGGAAAGCCGATGTGGTTGCCGTATTCCACATCGGTTCTATGCCGAATATTTTCAAAAACAAAGCATCCTCGTTATAAATTCTTTCAAAAAGTTGCTTGACATAGTTGCGAGATGCTGTTTCCACCGAGAGGCTCTTGACTGCCTTGTGGTACTCTTCCAGGTCACGTTGAGTTATTGTTTTCAAATCTCGGTCCCTCGTGGTCAAATAGGTACGGAACATGTTTGTGGCTGAATCGGCATAAATAGCGGCCTTTGCCGAAGACTCCAAAGCTCTTCCGTACTGGTCGTATGCATTCCGGACAACTTGTTGTACGTTGGGCAGCAGTGAGTACGTATCAGTAATCATCTCTGCAAAACGACCGTATGCCAAAGCATGGCGAGCAGAGTCTGATGTTGCCGCCGCAACTTGACGAGCAATCTCTGTGGATGACTTGTCCAGACGAGTGGAAAATCCATGATCCAACAGATGCAAGGCCTTGGTGAGTAGCGCACTGTATCGCGCCAGGTACGTGTCGCGTTCCCGATATGTTTCCTACGAAATAGGTTAATCGTTTGGTTGCTCCACAAACAAGATAGGCAAATATCGAGCTGTTTGCAGATAGACTCACATGACGGTTCATAAAGTCAATACAAGAATCTATATTGCCAATTAGTGTGCCGAATTCTTCGTCGTCGACCAGCCGACTGGCGCCAGGAGCGTTGAGCCGACGGGTTGCAGTGTCCAAGTAGAGATAATAGTATAAATCGGTTTCAACCTCATCAGCCAGTGTCTTCAATCGTTGTTTCTCTTTTAAAAGGCCTTCGCATTGGGCCTGAAACGTCGTCGTCTGTGCATCTACTGATTGGAAGGAGTCCGAAAGAGACGTCAGAAGCGCTAGAGTGGCATCAGCGTCATCGATGAGGCCGTCGAGATGACGTTCTGTTAGTGAAAGCTGGTCGCAATACAATCTAGATATTTTCAGAGGTCAGATGCATGCACGAGCGGTTCTAGATAGTTGCTTCCATACAAATACTCCTGTTGGCTCTCCTCTAACAGTTGCCTTTCAAACGCCTGGTCAAGTGGTTCAGATGCCGAGTAATTCCTATCAGCATCGTCCTCTCCCCTTAACAGCAACGCTTCCCATGCCCTATTTTTCTTGCCGGTCTTCTTCTTGCGTCGCAGTTGGCCATCCTTTGTCAATTGGGCTCGAACGACGTAGTAGAAATCCGTGTATGAGGCGGCACGGCGAATCACAGTCGGTTCCGGAGGAGTGTTAGTATCTTCTAGCTCCTCAAAAACATCGTCTAGCCGTTCGGTCCGCTCGTCCTTCACGTCACCCTGCGATAGATGTAAGCTGTTCTGCCCACAACCAGCTCGAAGATAAGGCCAGCCAGAAGCGGAGAGCACCAACATTTGGCTGTCGAAGTAGAGACTCCTTTCGTCGATGGCTTTGGGACTGAGCCGGCGCGGCGGGCTTCTTTGACACTTCGGGCACAAAGCTGTACCACGAATCTTCATACATGGTGGGCGGAAGCTCTGACGAGTGGTGAGGTGCCTGGAGCTCAAGGTGGGCTGCTCGATGCCACGGCATGTTGTTCCCGTTAGTTGGCGGTTCGGAACACAAGGCCGGAAGCAATTGCTCCGTCCACCGACGAGCCACTAATCGGTGTCCACCCAGCGGCCAGCCAGTGATAGTGGACATAACACTGGTGGTGTAATCAAGGAACTGACAGCAGTGTTTGGTGCTGCGAACAACAAAAGGACCCGTAATAAATGGCCGTAAGTGGCCTGGCGGCAAGTGGCAATCCAACATTGACTTTGAGGCCAAGAGAACTGCATCTCGACATTTGAACCTCGAGCTTAGCTTAAACTTCATTCAACATAAATCCTAGAGAGGAGCTCCATTGATCTGTTCCCGAAGCTGGCTTCGCTTGCTGCGGTCTCGTTGGAATCTAGCATCTAGCTTCAATAATCTGGTCCACGCATTGTTTCAATCCTCGCCTGCCACAAACCCCGCGATGAATTCTTCCAGGGTGGCTCTCAGACGGGCTGGCCATATTCGATGGTCATCCCAACAACGTTTCATTGCCCGGCGCCAATGGGCACGATATAACAGCGACAGCTCCAACCAGCGCGCGCATAGGCAAGGCGGAAATGCCTTCGCGCAGGCAGCCGTTTATGCTGGTGTTTTTGGTTTGGCAGCTGCGGGAGCCTATTACTATCCCAAGCTTAAGGAAAGCTTTTCGACAGAGGAGGAAGCTATCGAGCCCTCGAAAGCCCAACCAAGGTTCGAAAAGTCTCGCAGGCAACCCGTATCAAAGGAGGATAACAGAGATATCATCAGTTCTCAACACCTGCAGGTCAAGAATAGCTGGGAGCATCCAGGAGTCTATGCCTGGGGGTCAAACAGTGGCAAGGTTATCGACCCGGAGTCCAATGATAAGTACGTCAAGCTGCCGCGAAGAATATCCTTCTTCAACGGCCAAATCCTCAGGGATTTAAAGCTCACCCAGAGTTTTGGGGCTGCCGTTAATGAGAAGGGCGACTTGATTCAATGGGGACTTGGCTTTTCGAGCAGTGACCCGAAGCCGGTGACGACACTGAGGGGTAAGGATCTGGCCAAGATCGAGGTGTCTACTGACCGCATCATTGGCCTGTCTCGAAAGGGTGATGTATACTCTGTCCCATCGTCAAGGGACGATCTGGAAGGCGGGGCTAAAGAGACCCAGCAAAAGAGCTCGTGGTCATTATGGAGCTCTACCGGCAAGGAAGCCATCAACTTCCGCAACCTCACGCCAAGTGGCTTGGGCTGGGGCGAGAGGGTTATCGACATCAGCAGCGGACTTGAGCACTGCATTATGTTGACGTCCAAGGGACGTGTCTTCACCGCTGCCTCGAGTGCTACTGCGTATCCCTCCAAGGGTCAGATGGGAATTGCCGGTCTTACTTGGGAAACCCGGCCGAAAGGCCCATACGATCAGCCTCATGAACTCTCATCGCTAAAGGGCTTTGAAGCGACGGCTATTACCTCAGGGGACTATCATTCGGTGATTTTAGACAAGCTTGGTAGAATTTTCTCCTTTGGTGACAACACATTTGGCCAGCTCGGATTCCCAATTGACTCCGGTCTGCCCTACGCTACCACTCCATCCATGGTTCCTGTCGACAAGCTGTATGCCGCCTCAGGAATGGTACCAAAGGTCACGTCTATCAAGGCCGGAGGAACCAACACTTTCTTCACAGTTGATGCCAGTGCGCCAACTACGGCGAGTGAATCTCGGAGCATGGCTCCAGCCAAGCGGATGCCAGGAACGTTGTCTGACCTGTGGGTGTGTGGTCAAGGTGTTGCAGGCACATTAGGGACTGGCAAATGGACTCATGTTTCCACCGCGCCTACAAAGATTAAAGCACTTTCATCTCTTTTTGAGTTTGACGAGGAGACAAACAAGAACGTGCCGATTAGGCTGAAGGCACTCAGCGTCGGAAGTACCCACTGCGCCGCCGTGATGGATAACATCACGAAAACAAATACGTCAAGCAAAGGTTCCGAAAACGAGACAAACTGGGGTGCTGATGTTTTGTTCTGGGGCGGCAATGAATACTACCAATTAGGCACTGGAAAAAGGACGAATATGAACACACCAACATATATTGGACCTTTGGACGGCGGCGAAGGCGCTGCAAACAAGGGAAGGAAAGGAGAGATGCATCGCCTCTGCCTAACTCCAAAACAGACGGTTCGTATTGGAGAGGGCGGAAAGGGCCGCAAGGTCACGCTGGAGCAAAAGGTGGAATGCGGCCGGCTGGTTACTGGAGTGTACTCGGCCGTATGAAATAAAAAAAAATGGCGATGCAGGTAAGGGATGAATGACAAAGATGTTGTTTTATTTGTATACCCTTTGTACAATACTGGGTTGAGGTTGACCGCGTCGTTCGCTCGTTTGGTCAACGTTTATTGGGCCAACTTTGTTTTTGGACACAGAGCTCCTCTCTTCATTCGTAAGCTTTACAGAATACTTAATATGGTTGGCTGCTGCCTTGGATAAAAATAGTTTGGGTTTGTCTCGTACTCATATGTCTCAAGCATGGAGGTGAAGTGAGGGTGAGCCAAGTCAACCATGTGACAAATGAAGCAGACTGCATTCGTGTTACTCCGTCCATGCATTTAGTATTGTCGACCCTTCGTCAACCGTTACACACGGGCCAGGCTGGGCACATTTAATGTAGAACACGAAGAGCCTAAGAATAGCAGCGGGTGGGCTGGGATGTCATGCGTCGGCTAAAGGATGGTAGGATGGTTGCAGTGCCAGAGGGCGGTGGGATGCGGCAACGTGCATTTTTATTTAGCACGGAGTGTACTCCGTATCTTTGGAAGTAATCGTCACGAGAGGGTTTGAACTGGAACATTCAGACCCGAGGAAGGACGTGAGGATGTGAGGCATCTTGGTGCGGTGGGGGATAGTCATTGTAGGTTTGGCGACAGATCATGGGATTGCCAATATCGCAAAACCTTTGTCCTGAGTCAGCGAAGAGACAAAAAGATGAGACAATCCTGATGCAAATGTTTGCCATAATTTTGCCTCCCACCTCCATGACCTTGCAGATCTGCACCTTGGCAGCAGCCATCAACCTTGGAGTTGGAGTCGAAATTTTTGTCCAGTCCAGATGTGCCTGCAAGGTGCGCGCGCATGCCAAGATTCCAGCCAGTCGCACCTGCCTCCTGGCCTGAGACCAAGACCACGATCAAGACCGAGACTGAGACCGCCTCGGGTCTGAAGGACTAGACGAAATATCGAGAAGCACCCAACGCTTACCAACAGTGCATCATTGCATTGAAAGGTCACGATCTGGATCGAGGCCCCGCGACCCACCGGCTGGTCCCTTGGCTTGGCTGCTCGGCTACCACTCTGAAGGTCATTGGGAGTTCGCCTAGACGGATGGATGGATGGCGCAGCCTCGGATTTCTCGAAGCGCTGTCGGTCGACTCACCAGAAAGTCGACCCAAGCTTCACCGACTTGATCTGCTTTGCGCATTTACCACCAGTCCTCTCTGCTGGCTAGAGGGAATTTAGTCTGTTTGTCCCATCGCCTGTCGAGCTTGGTCTTTCCTCCTTTTTTTTGCCCTTCCCCTACCTCTGTCTTTTCTTTTGGCCCGGCATCTTCAAAAACAACTGGTAGCATCTCCTGCTCTGCTTCCCTTGTACATATTCCCTGTTTCGCTTCTGCGTCATCCCAATCTTTACAACTGATAATACGAGCGCCGTTCCAATTCCTACCCCTGCCCGTTGCTGCGTCAGTCATATATTACCGCTTTCGAAACCACCATAAGCCGGCATTTCGACGGGATCCAGAATATGGACAAACTGCCCCGACTACGGCGGAAACCGAAACCTCCAGCCATCGAAACGTCTGTCGATCGCACGAGCAGCGACACTGGGGAAAGCACCTTCACCACCGAAATCACAAGTCAGCCTTCGCCGCAAAAGCCTTCCATGAGGAAGTCACCTTTGCGAAATCTCAAGTTGCGTGTGAATGCTAAGCGCGCGAGAACACACTCTCCAGTTGCTCGGTCATCGAGCTCGCCAGTCGTTGCCGTCTTCAACCAGGATGGCGTGGCACCCCGGTCTATCATAGACGAGGGTTCGTCTGTCAATGGTCGACCTCGGCCGATCATGCCGGCATTCCTAAACACATCTACGCACGGTTTGTGTTCCTTTCTGGGCGTCCGGCGTCCTAGTTCACGTTTGCTAATCGTCCATTCAAGGTATTGAAGTCAAGTTCCAAGAGCTCACGTGGGCCGAGCGCAATCGCCTTGCCCAAGGCGCCAGACCCGATGCCCCTACCAATTTTAGATGGGGTTCCTTTAAGCAAACCGACGGCCTGCAAAGAGGAGTCATGGATCGGTATATGAACATTAAGCCTTGGAATCACAACAGGGTGAAGCTTCAAGTCCCCGAAGAGGAATTCGATTATGTGAACGCGTCAACTATAGTCCTCGACCCGTTGAGTGACAACTCTCTACCGCCGTTACGATATATTGCCATGCAAGGTCCGACACTACCGTCCATCAACTACGTTTGGAGAATGGTCGCCGAGCAAACATCATCCCCCGCTGTCGTTGTCCAGCTCACAAGCATGACGGAAGGCGGAGCAATCAAATGCAACCAATACTTCCCCGACAGCAAGGAGGACGCGACGTGGGACTTGAACAAGGACAATATTTGGCATGACAACTGGAGAGCGCAGCTTTCAATCGAGTCTTTGGAGGAACTTGCGAATGGCGCAATCTTGAAGCGAAAACTACTACTTGATGTCGAAGGAGAGGCGCAACCGCGGATCGTGTGGCACTTATTATATACACGTTGGCCAGATTACGGGGTCCCTACAGTCGACGACATGGACAGCTTCTTTGAGCTGATGACCATCTCTCGGGATCATACCGAGCCGTCCAATCCACGCGTAATTCACTGTAGCGCTGGCGTTGGCCGCACCGGGACTTTTATTTCCCTGGAGCATTTAATGCGAGAATTGGACGGAGGCAAGCTTGAGGCGACTGAAACAAACTGCAAGAGCCTGCCTGATCTCATATATGATACTGTCGATAAGCTGAGGCAACAGCGGCGTTGCATGGTTCAATCCGAGATACAATATCGGTTCTTGTATGAGGTGATGAAGAAACTGTGGCAGGACAGGTATGGCGCTGTGCTGGATGGGCACGACGCTGACCGTACGGGGAACAGCGAGCCTGCGGCAAAGAGGCTAGAGGTGGCAGATTCCTTTCCTGTAAGTGACGATTCCGACTCTACATGAAACAGACTTGGGGTGTAGCTGTAGCGAGGTGAACTTTGAAAAGGCATGGCATTCGAGGCGTTTGGGTCACGGGGTATCAGGGAGTATACGCATGGGATTGTACGCAACGGGATGAAGCCAAGCGTGTTGAGCCTGGTTGGTTGTGTGGGGCATCGAATCTGGGTCTCGCCACCGGAATATATTTTATAGAGATGGGTTGGCAATTGTATTACTTGTTCACCCGGTCCCGTGGTCTGTTTGTATCTTAAGCTTTCGAGCCGCGTTTTGTGTATTTTTATGCGGGGATGTAGACGGGCCGCAGTGCTGGCAGGGCACATGGGTACGTACCTAGGTAGTTGTTGCAAATAGAGCCGACAGCCAGCAAAACGGCGGCGCGTCACAACAAAAATCCTGTTCAGTCACGGATAGCAGTTTGCTAAGCAAAGTCTATGTAGATCCAAAGTTCAATTATTCTTCAAGCGAAATCTTCTAAATGCATCTGAGGTCAAGTACGAATATCACACAAGCCAAGGTATTACCACCCATATAAACAGTATAAACAAGCCACTTTCGCATCGATCGATTTCCCCACTGTGTGCCATGTTCAAAAAGAAACCCCCCCGTGTTATTCGCTCGATTGGCAAAACGCTCCCCCTTTCCTGGTTTAATTATGAGCTGTCACTGTGACCGTCTCCTTTTGCATATCGGTCACTGTGACGGTCACGAACACCGACACCGTAGGCGTACCGCTGTTAACGATAGTCGTCATTGATGAGCCGGCATCAGGGCCTCCAGCGTTCCTTGTTACAGCAGCTGGTGCGCTGGCGGTTGTTGATGTTGTTCCGTCGTCGAGGGGACGGAGGAACAGTTTGGTTGAATTTGGTGGTGGGAGACTGGTGGGCTTGTTGAAGGTTTGCGTGATGACAACTTGGGTTGGTTGGATGGTGGACGAGGTTGTGGGAGGGGAAGGGCTGGGCGTGTTGGTTGGTGGTGGTGGAGGAGTGGTTGTCTCCAGAGGGGGGAGGACAAGTGTTGTTGCTGCTGCTACTGATGTAGTAGTACCTGATGAAGAAGAAAGGACAGGCGTCGTTGCCCCTGCTGCTGCTGGTGGTGGTGGTGGTGGTGTGGTGGCAGTTGTTGAAGGGGAGAAGATAGGTATTGTTGTTATTAGTGGTAGTGACTGGACAGTTGTTGAAGCAGGGAGAGCAGAAGGGGTATACTCTATCAAGGTTGACGTTGACGTTGATAGTAATGTCGGCGTCGTCTTCGTCGACGCCGTTGGTGTTGGCTGGGACTCGGACTGGACTGGTGAAGATCCACCCACTTCCGGCTGGGGGCTCGGAACCAGCGTAGGTATAGATGACTTGTTCGTAACGGTGAGGACTTGCGTACGTGTAACAACCGGTCTCCTAGTCTCGGTTATAAACGTCGTGAGCATACTCCTCGGCCCGGTGCTCTGCTCCGGCCCAAGAATCCCCTGGGCATACGCAGGATCGTAACAGCCTATTTTTGCACCCCTGACATTGGTCATGGGCAACGCATAGCACTTTTGTCCCTGGGGACAGGCATCGAGAGCAAACGCCCCGTTGCTACAAGAGCCCACTTGGCCGGATATACAGGCCGTCTGGGACCCCGAACAGGAGGACTGGGGTGTGAGCGAGGAGAAGACGCTGTTGAGATCTTTGGCCTGCGCGAGGTTGGAGGCGTAGATGGATGCGGGAATAGTCGTGGTGGCGGTTGGGAAGCTGGGAAATGCAGTTGGGACTTGGGAGTCCGGCTGGCCGGTGGGGGTTACTGTGATTGTTGTTGTGGGCGACGATGTGGCCGTGCCTGTCGACTGTGGTCCCTGATGTTCGGTGGATGATGGTGATTGGAAGGGACCTAATGATGATGATGTTGTTGTGAGTCCTGTGAGAGTTGCGGTTGGCAACCCCGTAGGGTTTGAAGCACCACCTCTGCTGTTGGTTTGCGGAGGACCAGATTTAAGAGTCGAAATTGTCGCAGTAGGCTCTGAAATTCCCGTGGTTGTCGATCCGGGTACATTCTGAGTTGTCTGGCCATTACCTGGGGCAGACGACGTACTGAAGTCCGTAGACGATACCAAGGAAGCTGACTGAGAATCCGTGATGAACTGTTCCACGGAGGTGGTGGCGGCAGATGATCCCAAAGTGTTTAGCGTAGAGCCGTATTGATCTGTAGTTGACTGGGTGGTCACCGTGTTAAAGGGATCACTTGGTGTAGTGGAAGTGAACTTATTCTCACGACTCGGGATGAACTGTTCCCCAGAAGTGGTGGCAGACGCTCCAAGAGCTGTTGTAAGATCACCTCCACCAGTGGCGAGCAACGTACCAGTCGTGTTTAGAGGGAAATGGCGTGTAGTCACGATAGGTGTGGGAATTGGCCCTGTGATGGGGTACGGCTGGCTGATCAATGTCCCCGTCGCGGGAGTTGTGGTGCCAGAGCCTAGAGCCCCTCTTTTAGATGATGTCTGACTTGTCGGGTCAAATATATCTGTAGCTGTGCCTGGGCCAGCGACGTCTGTTGTAGCTGAGGTAGGGGAGGATGAGCCCCCTGTGCCTGTGTCTGTGCCGGACCCGATAGTTGTGGCTGTGAGTGAGCTTGGAACAGACGAGATACCTGTGGTTGCAGTGGCCCGAGAGGTTGTCTCAAAGATCATGTTCGAGGTTGGCGTTATGACACCGCCGCCGGGGATGGTTGTTGTTTGACTAGGAACGCCTATCGTTGGCAAAGTCGAGGTGGTTGCCAGCAACCCCGGCGTCGTAGTCGTAGGCAGTCCAGTGGCAGACACATCACCAGCTGCTGTTGTTGAACTTGCAGTTTCTGTTGTTATGGAAGTATGGACAACAGTTGTCTGTGCTGTACCGATTGTAGTTGTTGGTTCCAGACTGAGTACACTCGTTGAATGCGCACCGAGTACAGCAGTTGGAGTTGCACCAACCGCACCCGTGGTCGTCGGTTCCGTACTGAGTATCGTTGGAGACGAATCGATTCTAGTCGTTGATTCCACACCAAGTACACTTGTTGGAGATGAAACGATTATGGCTGTTGGTTCCGTACCGAGTACAGCAGTTAGAGATGTACCAAGTGTAGTAGTTGGAGATGAGCCGATTGTACTCGTCGATCCCACGCCGAATACGCTGGTTGGAGATGTACCGGGCACAGTCGTCGGTGCTACACTCGTAGACTCAGCAATAGTGTGATCACCGCTAGACAAAGCTGGCCCTGTGGCAGCGATAGTTGAGGACTCCCCAGCAGCATGTGTCGTCTGTCCCAATCCGAGCACCGGCGTAGTAGAGCCGCTTGTAGGAACAGCCCCCAAAGAGTCTGTAGTAGGAGTAATCGTCGACTGTCCCGGATGGACCGTAGACTCGGTCGCGGTATGCAAAGAATCAGGGGACGAAACAGACGCAGATGGAGTCGAGGATCCCAAATTTGGTCCCGGGGTAGATGCCACGGGCAGGCCCGTCGTCAGCGCATTCGATCTACAAGTCAAAATTAGTCTCATGGCACGCAACATCTCGTGCTACGCCTACTTCTTCTTCCATCATACCTATTTGAGTCAGGCACGCCTGTCGGAGTAGTTGTCTCGTCTCGAGGGATCCTACACATCGGTTAGTTCCCAGCTCTACCACCTGTCAACGCAACTCAACCGCCAAACATACACATTATGTGCCCGTCTAATAGGACCAGCCTGGGCGGTTTGAGAACCCAAAAGTAGGTACACCGCGGCGGCGACATACACTTTGAAGCGCATGCTTCTTGCTTTCGCTCTCTGTTGGACAAGTCGTTTCTATGAAAATGAAGCTGAGATGGCTTGATGGCAAAGTCCGAAGGGGTTCTCAAAACAGTAGCGATCAGCGAGATGCCAGATTCTAGTATCGAAAAGAATGAATGAGAGGAGTCGAGTTTCAACCAGAGAGAACAGACGAGAAAGAGAAGTAAATGGCGACCGTGGGCGATTGCTGTTCGACTGTTGTTGTTGTTTTTTGGTTCTAGAAAACCAAGTCACTATTGCAGTAGCACAACACGCTGTGTTTCAAATTGTAGTTGAACAAGGGACGATACACAATAATGAGAAAGAAAAAAAAGGAACAAGTCAATGAAGAGGCCACTCTGAAGGCCCTGGTGCAACAATGGAAGAAGAGGCACTGAAGAGTATAGAGTGAGACAATAGGCCAGGAGCCGGGAGTACTAGTTGAGAACAGAGAAGGAGGGTTTCACACGAGGAAAACCACGAGCGAAATGTTCAAAGACAAGAGGAAAAAGAAAGAGAAAAACACAAGGTCAGTGAGTGAACAGGGAAAATCGGCTGCTTCCACGCAAGAGACGCTGTGAACACCAACCAAGCCACTGGCCAAGACGAGACCAACAAAGAACGAATACAAGACGTGAAAGAGAGGACGATGCAAGAACAAGGGGATCGCCGCTGTGCGTCCATTTTGTATTCTGCATGTATCGCGCAACCCTGGCTTCTGATCTATCCTCTGCCAACTTGTCTACGACGGCAAGGCTGGGCCAAGCAAGCCGGTGAAATGAGAGCGACCTGCGGGCCGCTACCTGACATCCAGGGAGCATGGCAGCTTCACAATCGAGATTGAAGATGTTTGGGCAGATCATGGCCAATGCTTTTGTGCGAGGACGGCAAAGGGCAGGCCGGGAGGGCATCCCTGCATCGTGTGCATCGTGAAGATGAAGTTGACCGACGACTCAGCAACGGACACAGACACAATGCACATGCGCGCGGCTCCCGTGGTCGTGCTAGCTTGGGGAACCATACTATCTGCAGTTTCGGATTGATGGGACGACGGGACCATGGCGAACCATGCGGGCAGAAAGACCGCGGCTGTGTTCGAAATGTTTCTAAAGTTGGAAATGAGACGTCGACGGCCAATCACCAGGAACGCGAGAGCCTGACCTGGTGCAGTCCGGGGTCTGGGCCTGAGGCGCTTGCGGCGGTGCCGTTGCCTATGAAGCCCGCCGCCTGCACCAGAGGCAAGTGTCCGTCGAGTCGGTGTGCGAAAGAAATACTTTGATTTTGTCGATCAACCACATGTTTAATCAAATTTTCTTTTTCTTTATTTGTTCCTTCCTTTTCCCCCCCTAATTTCTTCTTAATTCCGTTGTTGCTCCATCTTTACGTCGCGCCTTCCATTTCCCTTCCCGTTTTGCCGCCGACTTTCCTAGATGGTCAACATTTCGGGCCCACGCCGCTTCTCATTGGCTGCCGTATGAATCCCTGCCTGCAATTTTCACAGCAGTCTCGACAATCGATGCAAGTGCCAGTATCAGTTGAGAAGTATCAGTTGAGAGTCACACATCTGGGGGCTGAAGCACCGCACATGGCGCACCCGCTGCTCCAACTACCTAAGTGTATGCATGGGTATATACGGAGCATCATTCCTGTCATCTTAATCTTACACATACGCACAATAGCCGCCTCGTATTCATGGTCGCCCAAACCGTCCTTGTCGACTGCTCGCATATCACCATGCCATGGTGCTCTTCTCATCGCCATCATCTTCTCTTCCTATCCGGCCCGTAGCTCTAGTTTCTCGTTTGCCGAGACTCTTTTGTTCCCATCGCGAGCTAATTCTATTACTCGCCTCAAGGTGCTAATGGATTCATCATGGTGGACTTCGGCGTATGTTTTCACAGCCTCGTCGTCTGGCCAAGTCCAATTCAACCCGGACTCCGCCAGCGTTTGTAGGAGCGTTGACACTCTGTCATTTCCCAGCATCGGCTCCGCCACCAATCGAAAGACGCACAGCGTCTCGAAAAAGTCTGCATGTGGCGGAGCCTCTTCCATCTCATTCACGGCCGATACCACGTCGAATTGCCCCCATTGTTGTATCAGCCACTCCAGCAGCCGCCCCATTTCTTCAAACTCCCCCAGATATCCCAGCGTCAGCATGTAGTCGTGGGCATGGTCACTTCGGGCCGCGTCCCTGCGAGAATTCATGGCTTCTAGCGGTGCTATCTGGTACCCATCGAGATATGCTCGGGCATGGCGCTCCCTCTGCTCGAGTGTCCAGAACATGTACTTTATTCGCGCCTTGGCTTCTTCCAGGAGTAGCACTTCAGCCCCCGCCATCAGGGAAGAATCTTCCTGTCCTACTTCCCGGTGCAGCAGACTTCGACGAGGGTGCACATTATCCACACTTGCCATGCACATCTGATAAAAGAGCGCTTGCGCCAACGGGCTCTTTGTAAATGCTTTTTTCTCAGCATCCTTTGTGAATACATTATTCAGCTGTTGTCGCACGGTCTTTCGAACGCCTTTGTGGAACTGAGTAAATGTCGACAGCTGGACTCCGTCCACCTTCTCGATTGCATCCATCACTCTCAACATCAAATCAAGTTGCTGATGTAGCGAGATCCTCAGAGCATGGTGGTGTTGCGACAGTTCTTTTAGAATACTGCCCCATATGAAGGGAGCCCATCGAGACTGTTCATGGCTCAACCTTGATTCGGCGAGGCGAATAACACGTTTAAGTTGATCGCCTGCACGCCGCCCTTCCACTCGCAAGCACACTTGGAGATACGCTGCGAATAATCCCATCCGAACTAGCCTCAGAGGCCCAGCATCGGGCTCTTCGGCTATAAGATTTCGAATGATTCGACTCTTCTCGGGGCTGTCACGTAAATACTGATGAGCTATCTCCAAAGAAGCAGCATTGGCGACGAGAATACAAAGACAGGGGCCATCAGGCTGAACTCCATTGAGTCTCATATGCTGATAGAGCTCAGATATACTCGGGGGCCGTAAGCGTGCTCTTTCAAATTCGGCCAAATTGGCCTCATGTTGGGTAGAAAAATTCAAGGCTTTGTCACCGGGCGATATGCTGCCGTCTGACTCAACTTCTCGCAGCACTAGCTTCTCAAACATGGCCGAATACTGATGCAGACCTGGCTTCATTCCTTCTTTTGGTGGGTTGCGGAACCGATCCCATGCTTCTTGTGCATTCCGCGTGGCGCGGATAGATGCCTCCCACACTCCAATTCTTCGACTTTTCGAAACCATTGCTCTCTGTTGAATGGTTGGCGTTCCATCCTGTGTCATGCCTTGCAGTATGTCGACAGCATCGTCGACTTCGTCTTTGGCAAATCCAGCCTCTTGCATGAGCATGCCTGCACTTACAGCTCGGCTCCAGTTGTCTTCTGGTTCGGTACGTTCGTCCATTCCGTGGCCTGGCTGCAAATAGGGAGGCCAGCTCGGTGCATGTCTAGCTGCGCTGTATGCTTCTGCATGGTTCTTGGCCTGGCCTGACAACACTTCTCGAATCGCCCGGAATCCACCTCTATCCACAAGCAACGGTTTTGACAGGCCTGCCGACATCGACAGGAGAATTCTCTGCGCCTCCCAGAAATAAGCATTGGGTGTGGATCTTTGGGCCACTTGGACATGCGGCAGAGGCCGTAATATTTGCAAGCATCCATTGAAAATATCGCATTGTGTTATGTATACTTTTCTTTCTCCTTCAGCAGAAATCGGCATATTCTGAATGTATTGTGCAGCCGAATCAGCCAGCTTCACCACAAATCTGGGCTCTAGGCGGCGGCAGTGATGAACTAATAGTCGCATAATTAAGTTGAAGTTTGCTCGGTCAATATCCAGCATCTTTTCTGACCCATCTCTAATATTTTGACGGTTGTTTTCCAATATTGTGTTATCCGCTCTGTTGCTGCCGTAATAGGCGTGTGATGACTCAATCATTCGCTGCAACGTGACTGGATCGCTAATACCGGAAGATCGGCGGAGTAAGAAGTGGAATATGAACAGCGGGATTGACGTAGGGTCCTCCAGATATCTCTTGCACCTCTCTTCATCGTCTTGTCCTCGCAAAATATGCACATATCGCTCGATAGCCTTTTGGGTATGGCCTGCAAGAGACGGGTGTTTTAGTATGGCTCTGTTCTCTTCCAGCGTCGGAAGAAGCTCCAACAATCCGCTTCCACCGGCCGACTGGAGCTCTTCCTGTCGCAGAATTTCTTGCAAGAGGAGAATAGACAGTCTTATCGTTCGAAACTTGGCGATTCTTTTCCTCCAGGAGTCTGCATATGGGTTTCTCCCAAGTACTTTCTCAAGCAGCTGGCTAGATGACATGTGTTCCAGTAATTTTCTCGTAGAGTTTCGCACAATTGGTTGACCATGGGACCTCAAGCTTAAGCCGCCAGGTCGAGTGCGGCATCTTGGCCCGTCAGATGTCGCATGTCGCAGGTTATTTTGCTTTGCAAATGCCCTGCCCGTCCCGAACTTGGGGCCGGTGCCCGTCAGACTCGCGTCAGCTGTGGATGTCGTAGATAATATGTTATCTGCTACAGCTGCTCCGGCAGCATTTACGTGGAGATCTTGGAATATCGAGCGACTGGGTAACTGCATGCACACAAACTTGATTAGCCTTCTGAGTCATGAATAAAGATGGTGGAACTGGGTCATACAACAGCTTGTTGGAGCACTCGGAGCGGCATACGCCGCCGTCGGCCAAGCTCTCTCGAGGCATTTCTGAGCATGCCTCCTCATAATTTCACAACTTGCATCAGCATTGGTCGTGTAGTCACTGGAGGTGCGCCGTGTAGAGATGCGTTGGAAGTGGAAAAGACGGCTCGTACCCATTCAGCAGTTGGCACGCATGCAAAAAGCAGCGTCTCCACACTTACCCTGGACCCGATAACCCATCTTTCGGCATCGTGATTGCATCACTGGGCATGCGGCGAATATTCGGAATTTCACAGTGCTTTTATTTTCACCCTAGAATGGATAATATGAAAGATAAATCATGAGATGCCTTTCTTTCAGGCAGTGTTGACCGAGTTCAATAGCGAACCTTGACAAACCCTAGTTCTTAGAAGGGCCTGTTTTCTCACCGGACTGACCTTTGGTGACCTCTTCCCCTGCCTTATCTTTACGCTTTTGTACCACTTCCCAATTATAAACTCTCGCTGTCGCAACTTCCATGGTCTGATTGGTGGGTAAGCTCAAAGTGTGCTAGTAGGTTGGCGATCAGTCATAATACTTACGGTGATCTGCTCGCGTAAGAAATCTAAATCCTCCTCGCAGTGTGACAAACTTGTGTTCGCCGTGGCTAGTTTTGAGCTCAACAGAGTCTCGGCTTCATCTGTAGTATATGAAAGCATCACATTGGCCTAAAGCCACCGTCAGCATTCATTGGAAGTACTGGGGTCATGTATTATGCGCACCCCAAGCCAGATATAAACCTCGTTAGTTGCAGGAATATTCGCTCTTGAATATAATGTTTCGTTGAGTTCGAATGTCGTTTCTATGGGTTCGGGTTCGTCCTGCACCGCCTCCACGTCAGACTCGGACAAAGACTTCCAAGGTTCAATTGCATACCTTGCGGAGCTTCAAAAACCTAACTGTATCTAATGTTTTTTGGATCTCGGGTATCTTGTCTTTCAGACCTGCCATTCGGCGCTGCAGATTCATTTCCATAAACTGATACTTCCTGCAGTGCACTGTTGTTACTCATAGCCGCCTTCCAACTTGACCTGGTTGAAACCTTGAAACATAGGCACCGTCTTTCTTCGAAACAACGAGTTGACTCACGAAATCATCTCCTGGAAGCTCCGTAATGTGGGCTCGACTTCCTCCCGGGTAGCGACATAGTCCTCAACCCTGTCCACGAAAGGGGCGTAGGGAATACCGCGCGGGTTGGTGGCGGTCCCATCGTTGCCGCTGGAATGTGAGGCTGTGTCAGCATATACGACGGAGTCGCTAGGTCATCAAGACGATTTGAGAACTTACATTGACGCCGGCGCCCTGCCTGCGGTTGCCATCTTTGTTGGCCTGTCTCCAGTCAGTGCAAGGTAGGATTTGGAGCTTTGAAGCTGCCCACTTGCGACAGACGGCTTTGGCCAGTGGGCTGCTCACCGAGGTGAGCAGGTCGAGGTGGGGTAGCCTCACCGATGGTGGACCAACATTTTGTCTCAGGACTGGGAGACGGCAGCTATTCTAACATGGGAGTTTCTTATAGCGGCGAGTACATTTAAGTTGCTCAACTACCCAGGTGTATTGGCTCATAAACATTTCTCATTAGCCTACTTGCAAGTTGCTACACAAATGTCAGCTATCAGGTAAAGTTTAAACATGTATCAACGCTGTGCACGACTGGCATTCAGAGACAGTGATGACGCAGCAAAAGAGGGCACTGGAAAGGCCGTTCCAAAATGATACGTGGCGTCAGCCCGGAGCTTCCATCGACTGCAAACGGCATAATCGACTAATCCCGAGGCAATACAGACCTTCGGTTCGGGAGTATAACCGCACTCATTGCAGCTATGAACAGTCAGCTTGGAAGTTTCTTGTATGCCCACCAAAGTAAAGCTATCGCGCCACAGCATCTATGTTAGACTTGTATATTAATGCCCTTTATGAAAACAAGAATGCCTTGATTATACCTGCCTCGCAACACCCCTTAGCAAGAGTGTGGATTTCCATTCCATTACAGGATGTCACCGGCTACAGATGGCGACGACGACATTTACGAGGGGTCTGGCCCCAGATTACAACCTGGAACGCCAGAACTTGCATCCGATTCAAAAAGCATTGAAATGAAGAATACTGAAAGTACTTCCACAGCAAGTCCCAGACATGCGGGAACGGCGTCTCAGCAGCAGGTGAGCAAAGGCATAGAGGAGGAAAAAGAAGAAGGCAAGAAAGCCAAAGACAACGCTGATAAGAAAGCCGAGGAGGAGTCTGATAGAAGGGCTAAAGAAGAAGCCAGCGGAACTGCCAACCGAAAAAAAGTAGAACCACGCTTGAGGGGCCCCTTCAGCTCCCTTTCGCCTGAAGCAGAGGCTGATAGAATGGCCGAAGAAGAAGCCGATAGATTGGCCAAGGAAGAAAGAGGCACAGCCAACACCGACCGGCCGGAGCCACCCCTGACAACAACAACAATCAATAATGTAGATATGGAGGCTGGCCGTGTGCGCTGTGTGTGTCGTATCCCGCGCTGGCTAACACGCCTGTCCTATTTGTTCCTCTGTTGTTGCTGTTGCTGTTCTTGTCCCAGGGAACGACCGATATCATCGCCGAGAAGCGACAATGCCAAACAGTTCGCAAGAGATACTCGTGAGCTCAGAGAGAAGGTCAGGGATGACAAGGGCTGGGAGAAATTCAACTACTACGCCGTCTATTGGCTTGCTATGGCTTTAGTTGTTGCACAGCTGATAATATCTGCAATTATAACAGCCCTGGGAGCTTTTGGCCACGTAGTGGCAGTGACATCGCTTGGCGGTGTGAACGTTGCTCTGGCTGGTATTCTAGCTGTCTTGAAAGGAAGCGGCTTGCCCGAGCGACGATGGAGGAATTACCACGAATATCGCCTTGTTGGAATTTATATTGACAGAATGGTTCAAGTGCTAGATACCCGCCCGTGGGCATCAGCAAATCAATACGTGCGCGAGGCAGAGGATATGTACCAGCACGCAATCGAAACCATTGAGCAGAGTCGGCCAGACTTTTACGCATCATCAGTTGCGGGGAGAATGTTTAGACAGAGAGATTCGGGCGCGGCAACGCCATAGGCGCGTTCTTCTGGCGGTTGAATAGATAGTCAAACCTTGAATTAGCATAGAGCGTCAAATGCCATAGTAACTGATGTTACGGTTACCACAGTATTCCCCTCAAGTCAATCATGTCGGCGGCTCAAACCATGACCCAAGTAGCCTAATGCTGGATTTAGCGGGCCGTTTGAAGGCTTTATACTCTCTGCTACTAGTGAACATCTGTGGAAATGAATCAATAAATGAACTCACGTGGAAGATGTGTGACAGGAAGGGGTTGGCACACAAATAAAGAATTGCAACCGTAGACCATCAAAGACTGCCAAAAAAAAAAAAAAAAAAAAAAAAAGAAAGAAAGAGAGAGAGAGAGAGAGAGAGAGAGAGGGCCATATTAATTTCTTACACATATTATCATGACTCGCTGACTGAAACTTTATCAATGCATTTGACGCCAAGCTCCCAATAGTACCTCCTTACCCATGTTCATACCGTACACCAGATCCTCGATCATCTATCGCCGAGACACGAGGAATCAGTCTGTTCGCTCCTTTGCATCGCCAATGTCAACTGCGTCGGGTTCTTTACTCCTGACAGGAGGCGGAGCTGACGTTTCCGGCACATCTTCCTCATCCCAGTCATCCGGGGCATTTTCATCCCAGTTGTCCACCTCTTCCTCCAATGTCCGCACCCTGGACGGGCCAGCATCGACAATACCACTTTCCTGGCCTTGGCCCAGTTCCACGTCTTCGCCGTCCTCTCCTGGAACAGGATTGTACGTTTTTCTTTGCCTCTTACGCTCCAGCATGCGCTTGTGGTACCACGAGCACAAACCTAAACCAACCAAGCTGCCGACAATATTCGCCACGATATCGAAGAGGTCAAAATCACGGTCGTTGGGAAGGAAGCTCTGCAGAAACTCGGATCCCACGCCAAGGCATAGTGTGCAAACAACCAGCGTCATGTTTAGGGTTCGGCGGCGATTGGTGTCGACAATCCAGTAGAATACAACTGTAAGCAGGAAGAAGGTCCCGGCGTGCAAGACCTTGTCGTTGACATACTGCCCGAGTTGGAGCTTGCTGAGGCCGGCGTATCCTGCAACTAGTAACAAAAACAGGAAGACACCTAGAACGAAGCACACGAGTCAATTAAGTTGTTCTTCCTGGTCCTCCCGATGAGTGAAGCCTGGGTGATGCTACCTGCAAAGGGCAGACGTATTCGCATGGCGTTAGATGCGTCAAAAAGAAGCTGAATCGAGCGTAGCCCAAGCGGCCGCAGCAAATACTGTACAAGGTTTCGCGATCAAGCCGTCCGGCGGTGGTCTGACGTGAGCGGTCGGCGAACCGCTGATGGGAACAAAGGCCAGCTTGCGCAAAGAACTGGGGATGGTCGAGGGCAGGGCAAGTCGCGGGGATTGTTGAGGACGAAATTCTTGTGAATGACAGCTCCCGTTCAAGGAAAATCGAAGCCCACAGGCACAGTGAAGATGGCAAAATTCTAGATTGAGGCTGGTGACGTTGAAGCCTAGCCGGATGGTGGTTGGGGGTAGGACGATTGGAGTCTGGTAGGACAGGGAAAGCTGATATCTGGAGTGCGGATGCGGCCTCTCAGCTTCAGCGCATTCCAGTGGGCTGAGCAGGTGCTGGCTGTATCCTGATTTTGGACAGTCGACTGGTTGATTGCGCAGCCCATGACTTCATTATGCGCACACACGCAGAGCGCCTACACCCTCATTTATTTACGTAGCAGCTTGCCCAGCAGGTACAGGTAGAGCGGCTCTGCTCTGTGTTTTACTTGACACTATTGCTTACTCCCTTTGTGAGAACTGAGGAGCCAGGTGCCGCCAAGTGAGCCCCCCATCTCTGCCATGGACCCATGGTGACGGTGGTGTGGTACAGGGTCGGACCGACAATTCATTTGATTGTACGGAGTATTTAGGGATGCAAAGCCCAGAGTACTCTCACGGCATGCCATGGCAGCCAATCATCTCTACACCATCAGAATGGCTTCGGTGCCTAAGCCTCGACGTGCGATGACAATTGCAGCTGGCATCACGTGATAAGCGCTTTGATCCAGCTCGTGCAGGCGCACACACCTGGTGTTGCTGTTATGGGTGCTGGCGCTGGTGCCATCAGTTACCCCCAGGTACCTCCAGGTACCTACCTAGTACTTTAGGCACCTGAGGTCAGCCAGTACAGATGGGCACCCCGGACGTCTTTGTCCAGCACTCGCAGGCTGGCAACAGGCGCACCTGCATTGTAGAAACCGTGAAAACTTGGCCCTTTGCTGCATCCTGTAGTTTCGTTTCATTGTCTCCGAGTTTCTTTTGCATGCCTCGCATTCAACAATGCTGCTGCTGCCGACGGGACGGCCCTTTGTACCAGTGGCGCGGCCAAGGCGACCACTTGGTACTTTAGTTCGTAACTCGTGGCCGCCGAGTGCTCAAGCGCCCGCCCAGCCTGCTTGGTAGACTCCATTGAGGTAGCGAGGTACCTAGGGGTGAGCCTGGGAGAAAGTCCCGCTTCGGGAAAGCGTGCGGTACTACGCTCTCCCCGAATCCTCAACCTCACCTCTTGATCCGCAGACAAATCGCACTCGTTGCGATCCACCAAAACACCGTCGCCGTCATCTCGATTGTCGCGAATCTGCGTCCTTCATCTATACCGATGCCGCTCTTTCGACCTATGCCGCTGTAACTGCTCCAATCCCTTCCGGTTCGGCCCTACGCGAGCGCATCTCACCGCGCATGGCGACACCGCGCCCACTTGTCGCTTTCATCGCCACGGGCCCAGCATGTCCATTTCCAACGGCCAGCCAGCATGGCCGCCTCCAGTTTTACACCATGCAAACAGTAGCAGGTCTTTGAATCATCTTGATGATGGAACGGCGCGTACTCAGACCCCCGTCGATAATACAGCCGAGTTGGTGCCTGAGGCACCCGTCGATGTCGAAGAAGAATCCCGTCGCGCTCTTTTTGCAGACTTGTATCGCAAGACTGAGGACAAGATCGCCTTGTTGTTCTCTGACGATGGTTCTTATAACCTTGACGCGATTGCGGGCCTGAAGCGTCGTGCCCCGACCCCTACCGTGACGCTCCCCCCCATCACCGATCACGAACCCATCAAGGAACCGCCTTACAAAAAAGCCAGACGTACCATTGATGAAGATGACTACGACGACGATGAAGAAGACGAAGACGAAGTAGCCACCGCGCCTGCGCCTGCACTGAAAGCGCAAGGTTCCGCCGCCTCTATAGCCGCCAACTCCCTGTTGTCCCCATCCAAGTCTGGCAGCTCTCCGGTTCATTCCCTCAACTCGCCAGGGCGACTAGGAGACAAGCTAAAATCGAGCCGCGATGATTCTCAGAGTAGAAGCAAAGCCGGGGAAAGCGACGACAATGCCATCAAAAATTTGGAAGAGGCCAGGTTGGCCACCGAGGAAGCTGCCAGGCGTAGCTTCCACACTATCATCTACACCCTGGAGAATGATCGAACAGCGATGCTTGAACAACAACGACTGGAAGATTCAGAAAAGCAGCTTCAAGCCGAGATGGACAGCAATCAGGCAAATGGAGCCGGCGGTGCCCAAGCAAGTAACCAAGGCTCGCTGAGTAGTGCAAATCTGGGCGCCTCAAGCCTGACCCTTAAACATCTCATCGCCAGAATTGATATGAAGCGTGACCAAGTAAGAGCCTCAGATGCAGAACTGAGACTTCTCATGAACGAGGTTCGCAAGAACCGAAGCAAATGGGCGAGCGAGGAAAATGTGAACCAGGAAGAGTTGTACGAGGCTTTTGAAAAGGTTTTGACGGAGCTGAAGGCGCATACAGAATATTCTCACCCATTCTTACAGCGAGTTAACAAGAGAGACGCGCCTGATTATTATAGTTGTGAGTTTGTTTCTACCATCGGCTGCATTTATGGTTACTTCTGGAATTGCCACTGACTATGATCTGTCACTTCAGTAATCAAGAACCCAATGGATCTCGGCTCAATGACGAAGAAACTCAAGTCCCTGACGTACAAATCAAAGATGGATTTCGTTGCGGATCTTAATCTAATATGGGACAACTGTTTAAAATACAACCAAGACATGAATAGTCCTCTCCGCAGAATGGCGAATGGAATGAGAAAAGAAGCTGAGAAGCTGATCCCGCTGATCCCAGATCTTGCCGTTCGTTCTCGGGCTGAAGTGGAGGCAGAAGAGAGACGAAAGCAAAATGGCGGCGACGATGACGGTGGCGACGACTCCGACGACGAGCCGATAATGTCGTCTCGTGGTCGAAAGGCTACAACAAAAGGTGCCAAGTCGCGCACTGGCCCAACTGACCAGAAAGAGGACACACCCGTAGTGGATCAAAAACCGGTCTTACAACTCAATGGACTCCTCGGGAAAGCTGGCAGGGAGGGATCTGAAGTTGATGGGAGCAATGGGTTCTCGACTCCGCCGATAGCTGGCTCTATAACCCCGTCTGGCGCGTTGAATGGGCACTCTGGCATTGCGAGCAACGCCGATGCCATGGATATTGACGGACCAAGTCTAAGCACCATGGCACTGAATCAAGCGTTTGGTGAAGCTGCTGAACAGGCATACGAGGACGAAGAGTATAAGATTTGGAAGCAGACAACTAAGAAGGATCGAGCCCTAACCGTGAAAGAGCGTCACTTTCTGTTCAAAGAGAATAGTTTGAATGTGGATGCCCCAGCACTTCTGAGAAATCGAGCCGGCATGCGCTGGTTTTTGAAGCATCAAAGGGAAGCTGAAACTATGGGTATTGCTGCACACCCACATCTGGCCAGTGCCGCAGGGACGGGCAAGGATCTGGCCCCAAGCAAGCAACCGGAAACTCTTGCTGAGGGCATTGACGAAGAGACTGAACAGGTTATGCCCGACTACTACAACCCGCTGACCAATATCCCTGATATCAAGCCCAATCTGCAGTGGGTTGAGGACGGAGAAGGACAAGTGATTAACCAGCATGAGGCATTCCTCAGACTCGTCCCTCCCGGCTCTTTTGTTGCACCTAAAAGCCGACTGACAAAAAAAATGGATGACAATATCCGTCAGATTCAAGAAACCAGAAAGCTTGCGACCAAAATCTCAGTTATCAAGCAAATGCAGGTCCAATCGCAGGTGTACACCAACCAGTTCCCCAAATCGAATACCGAAACTTTCCTCGAGCAAGATATTGAGCCACATTTCATCTCTGACGATGGACCTGTAATGGCTTCGGAAACCTGTCAGGATGCTCTCAAGCGTTCTGTCGCCAAAATTCTCTATCACACCGGTTTTGAAGAGCTACAGCCGTCAGCTATTGATACCTTGACCGGAATTGCTGCCGATTATTTCCAGAAGTTGGTCAGAACTTTCAATATTTACCGCGAGGCTGAAAAGACATCAGTGCAAACTCCTCAAGGACCGCAAACCCAGCCTCGATTCACCCCTGAAGAAGTTGTTCTTCATACCCTTGAAGAGAGTGGCCACGATGTTGCGTCACTCGAATCTTATGCAAAGGATGAAGTAGACCGGTTAAGTTCGAGACTCGGCATTCTCCATGAGCGTATGAAGCTACATCTCACTGATCTATTGCGGCCGGCCCTTTCCGCGGATGCCGGGGTTGACGGCGTCGGAGCCTTCAAGGATGGTAGTGACCAGTTCATGAGTGGCGACTTTGCTGACGATCTTGGTGAAGACTTCTTTGGCTTCAAAGCTCTTGGCCTGGATAAGGAAATGGGTCTCGACTCTTTCTCCGTTCCATTTCACCTCCTTCATAGCAGAGTTCGTAACCAATACCAGATGCAGACGCAGACGGCGGGCGCAATATCCGCAGATATGTTTGAGGCTTTACCGCCGTCCGAGCCAGTTACAAACGAGGGCATACAAGAAGAAATTGGCCTGGTTAAAAACTTCTTTCTTGCCAAATTGCACGCTAATGGGGACCAGCCTCTGGTTGAGGATGAAGAC